ATGTTAGAGCATGCGACGCGAACAAATCTTATGATAGCTTGCCGCTAGGCCGGAGTGAACAATGTAAACTAGATAAAAAAATTAATAATTACATTAAGTAAATTAATCAGATAAAAGAAAGAACTCTTGAGCATTCGTTGTTGATTTGAGAAGAAGAAACATTTCTACATCTAATAAGGACTTTAAATATCTGCAGCGGAATACTCTGCCGCGCTATACCGCAATAATAACTTTTTTCCGGACATGAATTATGGCAATTAAAAATTGCCAATAACAAGATACCTCTGACTTTCACATCATAATCATAACGATTTATAATGAAATCAAATACACAAGTTGAACTTCGCAGGAACATTGGAAAGGTGAAGGTACACAAGCAAGAATTATGTTATTCACTCTAGCCTAGTGGCATGCCATTAGCAGAGATGAAAATTGAGATTCCATTCATTATGATAAAATTTGAAATTCACACATTACGTACGTTATTTACTCTACGAAATTCTAAGAGAGAAAAGTTTGGTGCCACTCAAGAATAGAATCCTCTCAAACATTAATTAATCTAACTTTGACGAATATTAAACGCTACCAATGCTATGTTATGATCGTTCACGGATCTGTAAAGTTAACGCTACCAATACACTACCTCGGAAGGAGTAGCGTTAATAATGCACAGTTTTGACGTAACACGCTACCAAATGACGTCATGGTCGTGTTTGTTAGTTGTTACTATCTGCAGCTCCGCGAACAGTTTGTAGCGCTAAATAGTACGAATAGCGTCTCCTCTTAGTGTTCTATCTAGAAACGTAGATATTCGCATTCCATTTTTTTATTCTTTTTCCACTCCTTGTTCTGTCCCCATCACTAAGTTATGACGGGTTCATTACAGGTTATGATTTGTATTTGCTGCTTGAAATTTTGTTCTTTTCATTCCATTTTTGCTCTCAAAATCAGTTGAATATCTATCAATATTAGTGTAGGACCTGAAGTGTGTCTGATGTTCAGGTTAAGAGTTCTAGATAAGATGCCAAATATGTATGTCAATTTGAAGAAAAGAATTGAAATTTCTCATACGAGGAAATATAGTGATGTTTATTCATGTATTTATTTTACAGCAATACAGCAAGTTGTCGACGAATATTATCCGCAGGAAATTTAAATAATCGAATATCTTTTTCTGATCTATTGATATAGTTAACAAGGTATTTTATAAATTTTTTTGCCTTTATTAATATATAATATTTCAGTTTTTTTATATCCCTCTTTTTGTCTGTAGTCTTATAATAAAATTTCGAAGGGGAAATACATAAATACGAAGCTACAAGATTTTCAACAGCTTAGAAGTTATAACTTATAACAACCGTAACAATCATAATCTTCTCAGCTCAACGGCGAAGCAGAAACAGTGCAAGTAGTGAAGAAAGGAGTAAAAATGCGGATATGCGAATACTCACGTTTATAATACCTTAATGAAAGTGATACTTACCTCGATAAAATAAGTATTTGTGAGCGAGTATTGCCTTCGGCACATCAGCGCACGATATCCAATGAGTGTGTAGCTTTATCGATGTTTTCATTCTAAAGGTATATTCTCATTGGATATCGCGTGGCATGCGCTGATGTGTCGGAGCATATGATGTCACAGATGACGTTATCTCTGAGTGCTTACACTGCTAAAGCGAATAATGTAAGCAATGCTTATAAATGCTTTAAGCGTGCAAACACAGCTGATTTCTGTTAGGTTGAAATTCTTATTCTCTGTTCTCTGTTTCCTGTTCCTTTTATTGTGCGGAGCCCCTCACTCTATTTGTGTTTCTAGTCTCACTACCGCCATCGATCGTTCTACATGTCAATGGTAATGATCACGGAATAATAAGACTTAAACACAATAGGCATAGGCAATAGGCACAGACAACAGAAAATAATGAGCCGTCCAATCCAGAACTTTGGATTGTAAATTCGATATTATATCTCAGAGTTCTGATTGAACAGCTCGTTATTTCCTGTTGCCAATGCCTATTGTCTATGCCTATTGTTTAAACTTATAAGAAGGAGATCAAACTCAAAATCTGAAAGTGAGCTCGGAACACGGTGTAGGACAATCCATCACGTATCACCGGTCGCACGTATGATGTGTGCATGTAGTATGTATGTAGTAGATAATATGTGTGATCTGTTATCAGTCAATACTTCCAACTTTTCCCACAAGGCATGATGGCACTAAAATCACATCTGCCGGATTTTCCATGGATTTTTCTATACCGTGTTCTACTTTTTTCATGACTGGTCGCTTGAATTTGATTTCCTTCTTATTACTCCATAATAATGACTTAAGATGTTAATGCGACTTTTTTATTGGTTCATGATATCTCAAGACTGAAAGTCTTAAAACGATCTTGAATATAAGAATTGACTATAATCTTGTTCTTTTTAGCTGAACTTTAGCACCCAGAGAGATTTAGGCCGGAATCAGACTATGGATTGAAGATTTAGATTAAAAGGTTTGTTCGCGTCATATGTTCTAGCCCTAAAAGCACAAAGTCGACTCAACCTTAGTTTCTGAAGACTTCTGAAAAATGAACGCCTATAAGCCGACTTTAAATCAACTATTCTAGTCTGTAGTCCAATTCTTGCTCACAACGCTCAAACAGCATTCATCCTTGTTTAAGTATAGTTAAACATACTATAGTTTAACTATAGTTAATATTAAATAACAAGGATGAAATGATTCCACATTTAAGCTTTGTGAGAGTAAATCGCCCTAGACGTTTTAAAGTCGATAGGAAGGACGTCTGTATAAAGTCGACTCTAAAGGCCTAGGAAAGTGAACTTAAGTCGACATATCGACATTTGTGCTTAGAGAGCATGTTTTAATGTGCTCCTATAGCTTCTACTCACTTCAACGAGCGCGTTAGAGTGAGTAAATGTTACAGTAGGAGCATTTCAGAGCATATTAAAGCATGCAACGCGAACAAATCTAAAGATTAAAGATTGAAATTTTACCAATGAGGAGTTTTGGCTCCTTTTGTTCTGATTGGTCAAACTTCAATCTTTCAATCTTCAATCTCATTCTTCAATGCATAATCTGATTCCAGCCTTAAAAGATATTCCTGTGAGGCTCTCTATTTGCACCAGTTTATCTTTCTTCCTGTTCTTTTCTTCTGGAAAGAAAAGGAAGAAAGATGAACTGATGCAAAAGTTCAGTTAAAAAGAAAAGACCTTAAGCAACTTGGAAGCATCGTAAACATTATGCGACTTTAAAATTGAAACATGGGATTGACTGAAGTAACAAACTTCTGATTTGCGACGATACGAACAATGTAGAATGGTCTTTATGAATACCGGCCATAGGTCTATGGCCGGTATTCATAGTCGATTCTTATACAATATTTGAGGATGTCTTAAGTACAGTCTTAAGATGTCATAAGCCAATTAGAGGGTCGTATTCTAATCATAGTTGAGTATTCCTTTTTCTACTGTAAGAAGGGAATATTCGAAGGTGATCGGTAAATTTTTAGATTACAGCATATAGCATACGGTTATATATATAAACAGCTATTGTAAACGCTTTCTTAAGTCTATTCTATAATAATCATAAGGCTGGAATCAGACTATGCATTGACGATTGAAATTAAAGATTAAGGATTGAAATTTTACCAATGAAGACAAAGAAATTTTGGTTTCTTTTGTTCCGATTGGTCAAACATCAATCTTTCAATCTTTAATGCGTAGTCTCATTCCGGCCTCATTATGACTATTGTAGAATAGGCTTTATATTTTTAGACCGATGTCTACGATGCTACCAAAGAAAAATTTGAGAGAGGACGGCCCAAAACCTGTTACCGCAAAATGCTGCCGCGCACTATTGCCTTCTGACAAAGTGGATGTTGAACTACATAGCAACATCTACTTTTTTTACATCGTCCACTTTTCAAACTGGAGATGAATCGATATTTGATTCATATAATCGTGCTACATATAGCAATTATGAGTGCTTTTCATTTGATGACACAAGTCGACACAAGCATCGTTCTATCCTTGTTGACATTCATTGAATGACAAAGATAGAAGGACACTTGTGTCGACTTGTGTCTACAGATTTATAAACTAGACGAAGTGTTTATACGAGAGAAACTAAAGACAACATTGAAGGACAGCTCTACTCCAGACATAATTGTTTCTTTCTTTTACAGTGAGCAGTGAGGGGCCAATCAGTTTGATCGTAAGGTCACAACTCTCGAACGTTTATCTTCGTTGCTCTCAGCCACTTCCCAGCTTGTCGTGATGACCAATCAATTCACCATTAGAAAAGAAGAAAACTCCGCGATTATTTCTTTCTCTTTCTATCAAATCTTCAGCTTCTCTCTGTCTATGCTTGTGTCATCAAATGGAAAGCATTCATGAACCAAATATTGATTTATTATCTCCTGTCTTGAAAAGTGAACGATGTATCGTAAAGACTTAAATACAATAGGCACAGGCAATAGGCACAGGCAATAGGAAATAACGAGCCGTCCAATCAGAGCTCTGGGATATAATATCGAACTTACACTCCAGATTGAAACTTACACTCTGATTGGATGGATCGTTATTCCCTGTTGCTTGTGCCTATTATGTTTAAGCCTTAAGAAAAGTGAACATTGCTATGTAGTTTACATCCACTTTGTCAGAGGGCAGTAGTGCGCGGCAGCATTTTGCGGTTACAGGTTTTGATCCGGTTTGTCCTCTCTCAAGTTTCTCTGTTTATAGATATTATGGTTGCGTTCAGTATTCAACTGTTGCGGAGCGGATCCTTAACGCTTACAGCTATTGGATGATTAGAATATTCTACAAGAATATACCAATAAACAACGAATGCTCACGGATCCGCTCCGCAAGAGTTGAGTCTGCGAGAGAATGTGACCCAATCACACTTTTGTTCAAATAAGTTCAAATGTAGTTATATTGTTAACCGTCACTGCTATAAGGATTTTACATAAGGAGCGAAGCATCATTTTGTTTTCTTTGTTTTATACATATTGTGTTTGTAATTACGAGAATTTTATTTTTCTCTTTTATGAAAAAACGTTCTTTTGTAGAGCGAAAAGGTATGTAAATATTACGTGAACTTTAAATAATTATATGGTAAATAATAATTGATCTCTCTCTCTCGAGAGAGAGACACTACCGTGTCTCTTGAAACTTTATAGAATTATTTGTTGCAATTGTAAGATTATCATTGTGAACGACGAAGTTTCTTTTATTAATTATTGTGTATGTTATTATTAATTGTTTTTTTGTCTTTTTTTGTTTAAACAAGATATATAGATATGTATGACATTTGATGATGAATATTGAGTTGGATTTTGTAAATATAACTTTAAATATCTTTTATTTATTTTTAAAATATTGATTTTTTGAACGTATATTTAATCTAAATGAGAGCAAAATATAAATACCTATATTATTTAATAATTGTTTCAGAAAATTTTCTTTTTCTTTAGTATGCACGATTTGCTAATATATTTCCTTTCCTTTATATTAAGTATATATTAAACTTACTTTAAATTTTCTTTTGTTTAATACTTTTCAATTTTGAACTTTTTCCTACCAACAGCATTTGACAGATGGAATCTCGTTTACCGAAACCAAAAATAATGATAAAAGCGAATAGTATAACGGATATAAGTGTTAAGAATAATAGTCATAAAGTAACAAAAAGTAATATATCAACTTCAACATCAATGATAACGTCAACAATAACGTCAACATTAACCTCAACATCAGCAGGTACAGCTAGCATGAAATCTATGACTGAAAACAAATTACCAGTTAAACAAGCCTTAGTTCGAGCAAAGACATTATCTACAATCACACGATCAAATAATGTGCAGAAAGCAGTAAAACGAACAGCTACTAATGTAGTGCATGGAGAAGCAAAGAAAGCTTTTGTTAAACCTGTTACTAAAGCACTAATGGACAAGCCAATTAATAATGTATTGATGACTAATAATATGGTGAAGAAGGTAAATAAAATCATTCAAAATGACAAGGATAATAAGACAGGCAAATTAAATAAATGGGATATGCGAGGTCGTTTGGCACAGGCAAATGATAAGTTATCAGTTGCACAACGAAAGAATAAAGACACAGAGTCAAAATGCAATATGCTCCAAGAATTGGTAGATACTCTAAAAGCTAGTGAAACTGCATGTAAAACTGAAGCAGAAAAACTTGAAGTTTTAAATAACACTTTGACTAATGAACTTCAGACTCTAACAGAGGAAATGTTTACAATTAGAAAAAATGAAGAAGATTTAGTCAAACAATTGAAAGAATCAAAAGAATTATGCACAAGTCTTTCTTGTACATTGAATGAATTTCAAGAAAAATATAAGAGTCAAGAGGTATTGAACTTGGAACAAACTAAACAATTAACAGTTTTGAAATCAGATTTAGAGTTACAGGAAAAGTTAAATAAAGATTTGAATATTGTCAAAGAAGAATTACAAGCATTAACTCATAAAATGGATAAAGATCGTAGAGTATTGCACAATACTATACAAGAATTAAAAGGCAATATTAGAGTATTTTGTAGAGTTCGCCCAAGAACTCCTAAGGAAATTGAACAAACGAAAGTGTAAGTAAAATGTGCTTTGTATTTTAGTAGCATGATTATTGACTTAACATATTTGCAATATTTAATTACCAATATTTTGGCAATAAACTGCTACTAGGAATAATTATTAGGAAAAAATTAAAGTGCTTTTAAGATAATATACATATAGGATCATTATACTTTTATATAGGTCATTATATTTTTTCAGCTGTATTCACAATTTCTATAGAGCAAAGATCTAATGTTTATGTGTTTTAGCATAACATTACTGCTTTATTTTAATCTATTTGGTTCTATATTTTTGTCTTTTAAAATAATGATGGCAAAAATATAGTTCAAAGTTAATTTATATATACTTGTAATTTTTTACTTATATTTTATAAATAACTACAGAATGATTTTTTGTAAATACAGTTAAAAAGTAATTTGTAAAAAATGCATTAAAAATATGGAAAAATTGTTTTTGTATAAAATTTTGTTTTTTAACAAGATCGAATTCGAAAATAAGGAAATTAATGCGTTTTCTTTATTTTAAATATGTTTCTAATAATACTTTATTTTCACATTTTAGTGAGTTTGTATAGGTTGTATTAATTATTTTGAATAAAAATTAGTTTTATTTATAAGAAATTAATAGAAGAAAAATTAATGGAATAATTTTGATATTTTATTTGATTTATATTTGAATAAAATTAATGTTTTTTTTATAGGCTGTGTAATATAAACTTTATAGATGATTGCACTATTGAAGTAGGCAAATCAGATGGATCAGATGCAATCAGCTGCAGTCGGAAGTTGCGAGGAATAAAACAAGAATTTTCGTTCGACAAAGTATTCACTCCCAATGCATCGCAGGCAGATGTATTTGAAGAGTTATCCCTTTTAGTACAATCAGCCCTGGAAGGATATAATGTTTGCATATTTGCTTATGGCCAGACTGGTTCTGGTAAAACATATACAATGGAAGGGGAATGTGAATTACAAACCGAAGGCATGATACCTAGAACAGTATGTTCTTATATATTTACAATATAATTATAAATGTGAAATTGATAAATTCTAGTTTACAGTACTAGTTTAAGTTCGTACATTTTTGAGATTCAATAATTTGTATTCGTAACTTGACGGTTTACGTATAGAAACACAATTTCGAAAATTACGTAATACACATTCAGTCGCACGCATATTTGTATGTATGTTCACATATATGCGTGTGCGCGCGCGCTGTTCCATTTAACATGACCATTCTTTGTAGGATGTTTGTAGGATATGGTCGAGTCAAAAATAAAATTTAAACAAAAGTTGAATGGTTTGACACAAATAATAGTAAAATCAATTTTCGAAAAAAAAAAGTTTTTCAAGATCATAATCATTTTTTTAAATGGAATTATATGATTTTTTTTTTAGATAATGTGATTTCTCTGATTATTCCGTAAAATATTAATTGATATTTCATAAAAGCATATTAATTGAAGATATTGAAAAATAGTTTTTGGGCAACGCCAACAATTATTTAATCGTTGGTGAAACGGCCTTTTATCTGGCACATTTTTACATGAAATGTAAAATATCTCTTAAATTATTTATCTTTGGTAACTGTACTTTGACTTTTATGCGTAGAATAATGAGATCAATAATTATAAACAAAGATGGATGGATCAAGATTTTTTTATTTCGAATCGAATTTTTTTTTCGAATACAAATCGAATCAATTCGAATCTGAATCGAATCTGGGAATTGATTGTATACTTTGAAATTGCACACGCACACGCATATGTGCGCGCGCGCTTGTTAGTATGCTTTGTGCATGTGTAATTAAATTACACTTTTATATAAGTATAACTAATTTAATGTTTTTAAAGAATTTAAGTTATTTTTATGTAATTTTTCAGGTACGTCACATATTTAAAGAAATGAAACAGTTTGAACTTCTTGGTTGGGAGTATCAAATAGAAGCAAGTTTTCTGGAAATTTATAATGAACATATTGTTGATCTTCTTGATTCTCAATCAAAAATACACGAAATACGAATGGTTGATAATAAAAGTCAGGATTTATATGTTAGTAATCTTCAAGTAGAAGAAATACATAGTCCTGAAGAATTGTATAAATGTCTTCAAATTGCACAACGTAATCGAGCTGTTGCGGCTACTCAATCAAATGAACGGTAAGTATATTTAGTTTAAATTGTAGTAAAAAGTTACAAGAAACAAAATTTTTTTATCTCTCTTTTTAATTAAGTATCGAAATCTATAATTAAACTATTATTGGGTATATAATTTAATATAAAATTTAATTTGGAATATAATATATATAATAATTTATATTCTAATTGATTCAAATTGATAACAAATGGACTAATCTTGAATATTAATAGTTAATTGTCTATTGTTTATTAATATTAAAAATTAAAAAATATATAAAGATATCAATGTGTATAATAAATAATAATAATATTAAATTTTGACCTATTAAATATTGTCATCAATCATTTTCAGTGTACATTAATTAAGATATACATAATATATACAGGATGTTCCCAAAAGGCGTACCAAATTTTAGGAGTAGTATTCGATAACAAATCAAAAAGTCTTAATGAACAGTACTCCGAAAAATTTCTGAATTAAGCATTTTCTTCTGTGAAAAATAGAAAATAAATTAATCTTCAATAAATGTTCAATGTGCTTTCGACTCATGTACAATTCGGCATGTTTTATCATTGAAGGTCAAAGATTCCAGGTTTATTTCGTATTTATTGACAACAGTTTCCAAGTCTCTTAGTTCATTCACGGACACTCGTATGTGACCACCTAATTATGCAGGTTTGCAGATTGTTGTATTCAACTTTGGATTGTGGACCGTGTCTAGTGTTGTGTTATCTGAAAAATGACTAATTTTTACACAAATTCTGAAATGACGGATATTCATTTTATGTATGACAATGGGCAATGCTTCAAAAGCAGCACGCTTGTATCATGCAGCTTACCCGAATTGCCGACATCCAAGTAGAAGAATGTTTAACAAAATTCATCAACGCTTACATTTTGTTTACTGATGAGACATCCTTCATCAGAGATGGGATCAATAACATACATGTTGGGAAGATGAAAATCCTTATGCTATCATAGCATCATGACATCAGTTTTTTTTGTGAATGTTTGGGCAGATATTTTTGAAGACCATCTAATCTTACATTTTGCCTAATAGACTAACAGGACAAGTGTATCTTAATTTTCTCGAAAATAATTTATTTGAACTTTAGGAGATATTCCTTTATAATCTAGACAACGAATGTGATTCATGTACGATGATGCCTACCCATTTCCTCGTTAATGTCAAATGCTATTTAATCGATCATTTTCAAGAAAGGTGGATAGAACGTGTGGCGGTTATAGCTACGTCGGTCGCTCACCGGATTCAAATTCATTTGGAAATTGGATTATTATCTATGGGGACACTTGAAGAGCACGGTATATGCTACATCAGTTGATACAATAGAATTGAATTGACCCAAAGAATTGAAAACTGTTGTCAATAAATACGGAATAAACCCGGAATCTTTGAACGTGTTCGATCTTCAATAAGATGTGCCGAATTGTATATTGAAATGGACGGAGGGCACATTGAACATTTATTGTAAATTTAAGTTATTTTCTATTTTTCACAGAAGAAAATGCTTCATAACTCAGAAATAAAAAGTTTTCGGAGTACTATTTATTAAGAACAGTTATTCTTTTTAGTTTGTTTTAATGAGACCTGAGTTTTACTAGTTTTAACGAGACCTACATACTCTTAAATTTGGTACTATCTTTTGAGAACACCCTGTGTGTGTGCGTGCGCGCGCGCGCGCGCGCGCGTGTGTGTGTGTGTGTGTTTCAAATTTAAATCATTAATTCTAAGACGTTTTATAATTATAGTTATTTGAACAGTTAAATTTATACTGAGAATGACCGATATTTAACAGGAAATAGAAATGTTTAATATTATTATTATTATTATTATTCGTATACATTGACATCTTTGTATATTTTTTGTATTTGTAATATTAATAAACAATAGGCAATTAGTTATTAACTTCCAGGCTCGTTAGTTCATTTTTCATATGAATTGTTACTCATTAAAATCATTTAAATTAAGTATTAATTTTAAATTTTGTATTCTAGATCATCTAGATCACATTCCGTGACAAGAATACGATTAATTGGTACACATATCACAAAACAAGAAATATCGATAGGAAATTTGAATTTAGTCGATTTAGCTGGATCCGAACGTTTGAAGACCGAAGAAGCTGTTAGAACTACAGAAACAAAAAATATTAATAAATCTTTGGCAAATCTTGGTAACGTCATTTTAGCACTTTTAAAGAAACAGGAACATATTCCTTATAGAAATTCTAAATTGACTCATTTATTGATGCCTTCTTTGGGAGGCAATTCAAAAACTTTGATGTTATTAAATGTATCTCCATTAGACGAATGTTATAACGAGACATTAAATTCGCTAAGATTTGCTAGTAATGTCAATAATTGTAAGACTGAAAAAGTTAAACGAAGCCGAATGATTTTATAAGATACGCTAACTAATAAATTTAGAATGTGCCCAGATTAAAGAATAGTACACATTACCTACATATTTATATACATATATATACATTTTTTATAACTACAAATATAATTTAAAATAACTTAAGGGAAACATTCTGCGATTGGTGGCAAAATCATGATGAAGTCTGACATTAATAATATAATAATTCAAGTTGTTGAAAATACATTATTAAAATAAATAACATATTATTGAAGAAAAAGTTTATAAATGTTAAATATACAATCTAATCATTTTACTAATATATAATTAAACCGTTTATTATTTTACAAATAAAATAGGTCTATTTTATATTGTGTCAAATTATAATGTAGCACATAATATTATATATGTAAACAACCTTTTTTTTTAAAATTTTCTTTAGTTTATATCGCTATTAGATTTATATATTTGGACATTTAAACAGACACATATAATGTGGAAATAAAAATTGACATTAAAAAAAAATTGATATTTTGTAATCTTTTTTAGTAATATTTAATTTTTAAATGTGTATAATATACTGAAGAGATAATAAGATAGATATTGAAATTATATATATATCAAAATATTTGGTTTAAAATTCAAAGTCTTAGAAAAATGTCTCGAGTAAATGTTTAGTATAATGCCCCCCCATTTTGTTGCAATTTAAAAAAAAATTGTGTATTTTTATGCGTAGAATATATTCCAA